GCTGCCTATTTGTCAACCATGCTTCTACCCATGAAATAATTTCTCCTCCTATTCCGTGTGCCTTAAGTTTTCTCAATAGCCTCTGATGTGGAACTTTCTCAAAAGCCTTACTGAAGTCCATATACACAATATCATATTCAGTACCATGATCTACCTCCTCAATTACCTTAGTGAAAAAGTTAGTAAATTCGTAAGACAGGAACGCCCCTTTGTAAAACCGTGTTGAGATTCATTAATCAATTTATGCCTATCAAGATGGCTACGAACTGCCTCGGCAATTATTGATTCCATAAATTTTCCCACTATGGAGGTAAGGCTTATTGGTCTGTAGTTCGAAGCTAAGGACCTGTCACTTGCATTGTCAATTGGTATTACATTTGCCATTTTCCACTTGTCTGGCACTATGCCAGTTTGTAGCGATATTTAGCTAAAGGTTTGCAAAGTTGCTCTTTACATTCTTATAAAGCCCTTGAAAACATTTCATCAGAGCCTGGGGATTTGTTAGGTTATAATCTCTATTTGTTTGAGAACCATGTTACTAGTTAACCCAAACGTGCATAGTTTATTATTGCCCTGTTGTACATAATTCATTATTTCTGGAATTTCGCTAATATCTTCCTGAGTAAAAACTGAGAGCAAGTAAATGTTGAAAATTTCACACATTTCCTTATCACTGTCAGTGATCTGACCTGAGTTACTCTTAAGTGGGCCTATCTTGTCCCTAATCTTACTTCTTTATACCTGAACGAACCTTTTAGGGTTAGCCATCGAATTCCTTGAGACTTTAGCCTCATAATCCCTTTTTGCTTTTCTTATTCCTTTTTTTATTTGTCTCTAATTGAATATATTGATTTCGTCACCGCCCATCCCCTCCTTTGATACGCCTAAATTTGCCTCTCTTTTGACCAATGAGATGTTTTAATCTATTGTTCATCCATTTGGGATCATTTTTGTTAGATCTACTTTCCCTATTTGGAGCAAAAGTTGTCTGGGGCTAGAACTATGCTCTGAAACACGTCATATTGGCAACCAACACCACCAACCTGACACATAGTAAGGTAATCCCAATTTAGCCCACCTAGATAGTTTCTCAGTCCCACGAAATCGGCCAAGCGGAAATCTGAGACAGAGATTTGATTGCAGTTATCTGGGTAATACCAAGATATGTTGAAACTAAGTGATTTGTGATCGCTTTCCCCAAGCTCGTCATTAACCTCAAGATTATTAATTAGTGAATGTTTGTTGGTAACAACGAGGTCTAGCAGGTTGTTTCCTCTAGTTGGTTCTGTCACAAACTGTTTTAAAAACCAATACTGAACCGTAACAAGACAGTCACTGGACTAAAGATTTCCTATCACTTTGTTCTAGTCTCTTTGTCTAAAGTTAAAATCTCCCATTAATACAACATTTTCATATCTAGACGCCTTATTAATGTCGTCCCACAGCAGCTTACTACACTCCCTATCTAGGTTTGGGGCCTCTAAATCACACCTAAAATAAATTTTTCACGACTCATGAGAAACTGTAGCCAAACAGATTCTGTGCCCGATGTTTGTAATCTTATATCTTGTCTAACACAACAGTTTAAATTATCTCTCACATACATCGCCACTCCACCACCTTTTCTGTTGACCCTATCAGTGTGGAATAGTTTATAAGACTGTATGTTGCATTCAGAAGGCATTTCTCTGTCTTTCAAGTTGAACCAGGTCTCTGTTATAGCAATAATATCTATATTACCTACACTTGCAAGTAATCTTAGCTCATCTCTCTTATTTCTTAGACTCCTGTTATTTGTATAATAAACATTAAGGGAGCTAGCCACTCGTTGCCCTCTACTATCTCTCTTTTTCTGTTGAACAATTGTTTTGCCTTTACTAGGAACTTAATTTTGAATATTGTCTTTTAAACATATCCCTGAGGTATCCTGGTAATATTTGCTATTTTAAACCCTAGTACTGCAGCCTGATTGTTTCCCACAACATCCATACCTTTACAATCTATCAGTTTAAAGTCCTAGACAGGTTATCAATTACCCCCTCAATTGAATTAGCTAATACAACCACTCCAGCCCCAGAGAGATGAACCCCATCCCTTGCATACATATGTTTGCCATAGAATTTGTCCCAGTTATCAATGAATGGGGTTGTAAGTTCCTTGCATTACCTGTCTAGCCAGCAATTTATACCAGTTGTCCTAGACATTCATTCATTGCCCGCTCCCTGTCTAGACAAGATGCTACATATGATTGGGATCCCTCCGTTAGACCTGACTACATCTATGGCCAACCTGTACTTATCCAGCACGGTCCATATATCTTACATGAGAGTCTCCCACAATCAGAATATTCTTACCTTGATTATCAGGACAGTCAGTGATACCTTTAACCTCACTGACCACTGAAGTACACTAGTTCTGGAGACCAGATAATCGCTTTCCTACCTTCACATCTTCTCTATTAATCTTCTGTATCTTCTTTCTTCCTTCTATGTCAATCCAGTGTGATTGGATTGATATAGTTTTTTACACATGTTTTATTTACATGTTAGTATTTAATACTAATCTATGTTGGTAAAAACATCTGTGCAGCACCCATCTAGAATCTAAGGGCAAATAAATGTAGGGTACACAAACTTAATATAGCCCTTTCAAATCAGAGATAAATCTGACCGTCACACTGAGTGGGACAGAGGTTTTCTTTTCATACTTTAAAATGACA